TGAATTTATTTTTTAATCCCTAAAAACTACCGGATTTACAAAAAAAAAACGTTTAATCTCAAGCATATAATAAAGAATTAAAAAAATTATATTTGCAATTTTGACTTTTAAATCTCAAACCTCATGAAAATTTAGTTTTTAATTCCAACGCCGGGATTAAAAAAACAAAAACTTAACTTTACATTTTTGAATTATAAAATTCGCAACTCTGTGCATAACCGGCCAACGGTTTTCAGCCAACTGAAAATGTTTTGCCAGTTCTTTCTAGCCAAGTTGTCCTACAAGTCGAATAAAGGTCACCTAATAATTAAAAGGACTTTTATAAATTTGTTTTTGATCAGTATGATTGAATTACAGCTACACATATGCTATAGTGTCCGATATCAGCAGTTCCCTCAAACGAGCAGTTTCTTGGTGAGAGAAGGAAAGTGTAAAAATTTTCAGATCAGTAACTCAAAAACTCAGGTACTAGTTCGGGTATAAACAGACGAAGATATAGACGGAAAAATCATATTTCACAAAAAAAAATAAATTATATTACATAACCAAACAAATATGCTAAAGTCCTACAAGTGGTACGCTTGTCTCGAGTCAACTGCTGCAATGCATGTAGAATGCGAGAGAATTGCGCTTTTTATTTTTACAATATTTGCATTCACATTAGCAAAGCGTCCTCAGTTACTTTCAACATTTTTTAATATAATCTCCAAGTGCGCCGGGTAAGTGAGTTGCCCATTAGACTAAACATTCTGCCTGCGTCCTTGCCGCTTTCGTCGCATTTGCACTCAAATTTCACTGTAAACATAACGGTGCAACAGTAATGGCTAGAGCAGAGCCAAAGTGGCCGTCATGGCGAAGAGCAGTCAGTCTGTCACTGCCATGCACACTAGCCTTTGTGGTCCTCTTCACTTCACACTTCGCACTTCCCACATGCAACACTTTTCCATCATTTCATGTGATATGAGCCATGAACTAATGGAGTTACTTATGACATGAAATATTTATATGAACGACTTCAAAGGAAGGTGTGAAAAAATGCTTTGCTCTCACATGTGTGTGGGCGTTTAGTTGAGTATATCTGTGAGTGTGGTGGTGTGTGTGGCAAGTTAATGTAGATAGTCTCGAGTAAATTGCTTGCACAATGTGTAATTTATACGCACTATTATCTACTAAGTGAAGCTGTTGCATGCAACAAAATGCATTGCAGAGCGTTGACAAGTGTTCTCCGTCACGCTCGCTGCATCACTTGCTTGCCTCTTGCCTCACTCATTCACTTGTCGTTTTCTCCATTACACTCTAACGCCATTTATGTCAGTTATAACTGTCGTCTACGTCGTCATTGTCTATGTCTTGCATGTTATTTTTAGCCCCTTTAACGTTTTTTGGTTACCTTATACTTGCCACCTCCCATTTGTGTAACTTACAACACACTTTACCTATGCAACACAACTTCTTGCCACTCCTTTAGGTAAATTTCTTAACTGTTTTTAACTTTTGTTGCAGTTCTTTCGCTCTTCAATGCACACGCTCAAACATGCACTTACACATTATGTATGTGTATTTGTGTATTAACATTTTCATATCCTCTTATGTTCTCGCTTCGTGTGACATGTTAGCACACATTTATTTGACATTTTCTAACACTGTTCATCACATGTTCCCAGACACATATATACATATCTTTGTATATAAGTGTGTGTTTGTACATATGCATAGCGCATATATTAGATAAGTGCCCCGTAATGGGCAATTAGTCGATGTTGCAGTCTCACCTAACACTTCAACGCGCCTCTATACACACACACACATACAAGTATATCTTCCACCATATATGTATATGTGCATACTGCTATATGGCATGTGTTAATATTTTTTTCGCACACTTTCTCATAAATTCTTATAATGAAGCCTCAACTGTTCGTGCTTTCTAAGTGGCAGGTGCGCCAGTCCTTGGCTGTCGGTATATAGATGACGTTCTGCAAATATTTTTTACTCTGCCAATATCTAATGGAATGGCGAGTGGTGAGTGAGTGACAGGCAGCTAATTGAGATATATAACAGTTTTATGTTTGTATTAGCATTTATTGCTCCAAATGTCCAACCAGGGTAATAAAAAATATGTATGTAGCTATATGGGTCATTCCACCTAAAAGTTACATTCAAAAGAATTTTTTTTTCTTTTTTGTGTTCCTTTAGGCAAACTATTTGACCCTTATTTTCTATTTCGACTCAAAAAATTCAACTTTTGAAAAAGTACCTCTAAGCATTTGCGTATACGAAGAAAAGTATATCTATATAAAAATAACTAATTTGAATTTTTTGCTGAATTTTATCGATTTTTTTTTTAAACCATTTTTGGTTTTTTAACCAACAATTTTTTTCAAATTTGAAACTATTTTTATTTAGTTCCTTTGGTATGAAAAATGAACATTAGGTTCTTCATTCCTGACTGTATAAATTTGACACTGGACCGTTAAAAACTGCGTCAGTAATAAATTTTTAATATCTTCAACATCCGCACTTCTAGCGCGCAATTGTTCGTACTCTATCGCTGCGAAGTATATTTGATACCGCATGCCGTTACTTCTCACGCTACTCGTGTTGAAAAAAGCTCACTGCGCTAACCGCAAACGCGAGAGACATAGCTTGAAAATTTTGTCAAAACTACAATTTGGTACCGTCCACTCCGAAACTCATAAATTAATAAGAAAAAATACCAATGTACATTTTTCGTTAAAAAAAACTGAATAAAATACTTTCTAATTTAAATAAAATTGTTTGATTATAAAAACGTACATTTTGTTTAAAAAAAATCGAAAAATTCAACATTTATCTCACTGTTAAAAAATCTAAGAAAAAATCGTAAGAAATAGGCCGGCTAGTTATTTTGCTTTAGAAATACTTTCTTCGTATAAGCAAATGTTTAAAGTTACTTTTCAAAAGTTAAAATTTATAAAATTAATAACTTCAAAATTGAAATAAAAAAATATTTTGTCCCAAAGAACGCAAATAGAATGTTTTGTACAAAAAAATTTTTTTGAATGTAAATTTTTGTTAAAATGACGCATATATTCTACATTAATAAATATTTTTCAAATCTTTTTTTTCATGAAAAAATTGTGAAAAGAAATTTGTTTCTTTTCAATATTTTTTGAATTTTGTGATTTTATTGTAGTGACATAAACGATTTTTAAAATAGCTCAGTTTTTGCTGTCGTCGTAACAATTTTTGGTTGGATATAATATATATAATATATACAATATAGGGCTTTGGTTCTAACCAATAAACTCGACAGCGCTCTTGGAAATTAATAAAAGAAGCCAATACTTTAAAAACCAAAATTAAGTTGGTAAAATAATAATCAAATTGAGGTCACCAAGAACCTTGTATCGAGTATCTTCTATGAATACTTCCAGATATGCTCTAAAGTTAGTAAGTTTAGTTAGTAGAAAAAGATACTTAATCTCATTTTGATAGGTCAAAGCATTTAGCGTTCAGTTTGTATGACAGCTATATGCTATAGTATCATATAGTAAATGTCTCAGATAATATTATCTGCTAAGTTTCTTGAAAATAACTCATCAAATGAAAAAGCTTTCCATAGAAGCACTTGATTCCGATCGTTCTGTTTGTATGGCAGCTATTTGCTATAGTGGTGCGATATCGGCGGTTCCTACTAGTGAGTAGATTCAAGGCTAGAAAAGTACCTGTAGACAATTTCAGACCAATATTTCAAAAAATAAAAGAGTAGTTCTCGCATATACAGACGGACGCACGGACGGAAAGACAGACGGCTGTGGCTAAATGGATTCAGCTCATCATTTATATATTATATTTACTTTATAAGGCCTCCGACGTTCCCTTCTGTGTGTTACAAACTTTGTGGCAAACGTAATATAACCTACTCATGGTATACTAATTTTTTTGGCAATCCTGACCGATAAATAAACGGTATTTTCCAAGAGCACGCAATATTAAAACACTTGCAATTCAAATTTTAAAACTTCCAACACTTCCAACATTTTATTCACAATATAAATATATGAATCTTTAAATACCCGTTAATGAATTTGCAAAGTTTTTTCATTGTCAAAGTACTGATTCCATACCCGAGTATAGTCACGTAAACAATTCAACAACAGGGGTTAAAGTGAGTGAACTCTTAGTTATAGATTTGGTAATTTTAATACGGAACACTGACTCTTCCATTATGGTTGCCTGCATTTCAGGAACGGATTTTTTTGTGATACACTTCATTCCGACAAGCAGTCAATTGTCGATATGACTGTCAGGCCTTAGTCTAAATTCTAAAAGTACTTAGCACTTACGAAGTCTTTACAAAGCATCAGATAAAAGTCTGTGCAAAGGCAACACAGTTTCATTTTACAGGAGAAATAATCATCAGACTTATTTTTATATATTTAAAATAAATACAATATATAGTAGTCAACTGAAGGCATTTCAAATGATAACTCAAAGTGCCTAATTAATTTTTATTTATTATTTTTGAAACCAGTAATTCAGTCAATATCTGCAAATATTTCGTCCATCCAAAGTGATTAACAGAATTTTCCCTACCGTGAATGCCGTGTGATATAAAACCACCACGAACCAGGTCAGGAAAAAACAACTAAAAAGGAGCAGTTTTTATTAATATATATATATATATATGAAAGGAACATATAGACCCACTATATCCATCAGTGATTTGTGTTATGTTGTATTTTTTACCAATATGTTATTTTTTATTTTAGATGAATTGCAAATATCTAATGCACTTTTAATGCTAAAATTTGAAACTGAAAAAATTTCTGATTTATTACTGATTTTGCTATTTGCCACAAAAATACACGTACTTTTATAACTCAAAAGTTGTTTTTGTTGTTTTAAATTTGCTTGCAGTAACACGGAGTTTAATAAACATTTCAACAAGGGATTAAATTCATGCACAACACAAATCAAAAACTAAAACAAAATAAAAGCAAAATGCAACAACTTACCCAAATTCTCAACTTGGCACGGCAGGACCAGAGTGTCGCCCACCACGGCGCGATATGTGTGGCCGCGCGAGAGAAAGTGCGGTTGTACACCCGACATGGAGGATGTCTGCGAAGTGCTCATGGGGCGTGTGTTGGTGCCTGAAATATAGAAAACATAGTCATATATAAAAATTTGCGAACAGACACACATACATACACATATATATCAATATATTTTAATATTTTTATATATACTCGTGTCTATATGGTATACATGTTAGATATAATAGTAATTTATTTTTGTTTGCAAACTTTCTATTCATTTAGTGTTGAAATGTTTATTATGTTGCGGTTTTCGGTGGCAACGTGCAACGCCAAATTGCGATTACCAAACCGAATGGAATGACATAAAAAGCAGAAAAATGCAGAGAAGATAGAAAACAAAAGGTGTTAAGTGCTTGCATTGGATTTGTTTTTGCGCACTAAAATAAAGTTTCAGAAAAACCTTCGCTTCTTTTTTCTAGCTAATTTCCACTACAATTTTCTATGCGTCTTACACATTTTATTTTGATGTTACTAAAAGTTGTTTTTCTTGCTAAAAAAAAATTCATCTGCTGCGAGCATTGTATTATTCCCGGCACGTGTGCGCCATAAAAATCATATTATTTACAGTTCGTGGAGCACACCTGCGATTTTTGAAAATTCCTTCGGAAATTTTTATATTTTATTATAATTTTTTATCTCTCACACTTTGTTTTTTTTGTAATTTTTTGTATGTATTTTTTTATAATTTTCTTTATTTTTTAATGTTATTTTTTGTCTGTTATTTCCCTTTTGGAGAGTGCGCTGGGGAAGCAGTTATTTCTGTGAAATTAGCCGATAACCTGTTTCTGTCACGGCCACACAAATATCTTGGCTGCACAACACCGTCAGGCGCGCAAATAGCGAAGGCAGCGCAAGCAAACGCCAGCATTGAGCTGGCAGCCGTTATACCGTTACGCTGGCAACTTAGGCGCAAAACATCCACACACATGGCCATAAAATGTGGAAATATACTCAGAAATATCGTATTTAGCCGAGAGCGAAGTGCAGTAATGCAATGGGTTTGTTTGTCCTAACTTCAAGCGGAAACGGATGTGTGGAAAGTTTTGGAAAACAATTTTTCCGAATTAATTTTTTTATTTCATATTGCAGCAAATGCGCTCTGAACGCGAGTCAATTTGGGTAGTTCGCTTTAGTTTTTAATCCGAACAGTTTTGAAGGCAATTTTTCTTTTTGCGAAGTTTGGATGTTAGTTTCAATTTCAGTTACAATTTGTGTTGCGTAATTTCACTGGAAAATAAGTTTCAATTAATTTTGGTAATAAGTGCACTATCACAAGGTACTAATAATTTAGATTTGCAAGCTCAATTTGGGTATGCACAGGGTTGCATTGCCGTAGATTATCCGTTTAATTTTGATTTTCTTAAAACGTGTTTGCCGAAGTTCTAAAATCTGGTCGCTACAGAAATTAAAAAGTGCTGTATTCATTATTATTATTATTCCACATAAATAGAAACCTACAAATAAAAACATAACATATTTTGTTCGAAAATTAAAGTATTAAAAATTTCAATTAAATTTCTTATTAATCCTTCCATTACATTCTAACGGTAACTATTGTGTATATTTGGTATGCGTAGATAACGATAGGTCTTCTGCCAAGAAGTCTTTTCCTTTTCTCCCTTGGACTAACTACATATGTACGATATCAAATTATTTATTTATTTATTAACTTATGGGCAAATAAGCTTTTAAGAGTATTGGTCGTTTTTCTACAAAGTTTAGAGAGATATTCAAAATCCAGATTTATGACTCACTCGTTCGAAAATAAATGCCTAGTTTTTTACTTAATGACATTTAACGACGAGTTTGCTTGAAATTTTGTGTTTGCAATGGAATCACGACTACGGAATCGTGGAAAATGTCGTAAAAGTGCTGCGGGGTATTTGAGTGGCACAAAGCACTCAAACTAGTCGTCCATTCACCTCCGTTAATTACGATAACATGAAAAAGTAAGGAATCAGTGCTTGAAAATGGACGTGTTGGAATCATAGATAGTAGAAGATCTCAACAGCTCTTATGAATCGAATCAACGCATTGATCGCGAAACCAGAGTCATCACTCAGCTACTGTATTTGTAGGATTTGGCTCCATGTGACTTTTTTCTTGTTTGGAAGCTGAAAAAAGAGCTTCGGGAGACGCGCCATGAGTCCATTGACCCAATATATAAAAATCGCCAGATAAAATTTTGACACCGTAAAGAAATAGGTAAAAACACATACTAAATGACATAAGGAGATCAAAACTTCACACGAACGTAAACAAATATTTATCGATGCCGTTTACCCGTGCGGCGAATATGGACGAGTCCGGGTCAAATTTGTTCTTTAGTGTATTATTGACTTACAGCACAGTTATGTTGCACAAACTCGACTCGTGGTTGTTATGGACGTATGTTAAACACCTCTCATAAACACGGAGTTTATAAAAAATTTTTATGAAACATGATCTTTTTAACACGAAAACTCGAATTTTTTTGAGTTTATCATTAAACACTAGACTTACAAATAAGTTCCATCAATTATTTTATTTGAGTTCTTTGTTTACAACATTAAAATTAAACCCGAGTTGATGGACATCCTTGAACGTACTGCCATTACTTGAAAGCTATTGTAGAAGAGTAGTCGTTTCGTTGTGATCTGCAGGTCCACGTTGTCTTAGTTATAAAAACTTGTTTCATTACAGTATTCGAGTGTTAATAGACACTCTTAAACTCAATAATTTTTCGCAGATGGCTTTAATTTCTAGTATACTTTATATATTGGCTGTTAAGGTTAAAGTGTTTACGATAAAAAGAGGCTTAATTTACCCAAAATATATAGTAAAGATGGATATAAAAACTATTCATAAACTTTGTTGTGAGAATTCGTTAATTTACTTTTATTTTACTCTACCACCATAACCTAACCTCACAATTCGATAATGCATTCGAAGTTTAGAGAAATATGCAGGATATTCCTGAAAAATCTAAAAAATTAATATATCATATAATAAACAATAAGTTTCATAAAAATTTACTGGTTTCATATAATATATATTTGTTGTAGATTATCCATATAACAATCTTTAAATTTAAATATTACGTTCGAGTATGAATTACAGACAATATCTACATAACTTCATACAATGAAATATATACGCTACTAACGGTATTATTTTCCGCAGTTCAATCTACGACCAAAACATTGGCATTTATACGCCTCACTAATTTCCTTATGACAACATTGAATGGATAGGAATTTCATTGCACGAATAGTGGGCAAGCTGAGATCAATGGGTAAGGATAGGGAAACGGAATTACATAAAACGCAGACAAGCAAAAGCCTGAACTTTATGGTCTGTAAATACTAACACATACATAGCTACACATGTACATATATATGAGCGTATATGTGTATGTAAGAGTGTAAATATATATTGGTGTATTATATATACAGTCACAAAGAAGCTTAAATCTAGACGAGCGTTTAAACAATCGAAGCCTTGCAGAAGAAGTGTAGTGTTTCTTCTTCTGATTGTTAGTTTGTGAATACAAACTCATTTACGGGCGCTTGGGGAATTGTGGCGATAAGCCTGAAGCCTGAGAGCTGAGAACTACAAGGAATTTCAATAGATAGGACAATGTAGGCGTCATTCACGCTTGCTACGCGCCAGGAGATAAAATTATCGAGAGTTGCCAGCAATATATTTATATGTATGAGTGTATATACGTGTCTGTGAATATTTACATACCATATATATTTTATATGTGTGCGTGTGTTTGTCAAATAACGATTTCTTAAACTCAAAAGCAACAGTTTGCTTTTACACAATCTATATATGTACGTGTGTATAAAATTATATATGTACTTGTATATATGTGTTTGGGTGCGTCTGCCAAGCATAGCGAATGAATGAGCGACATTTTTATGCTAATTGAAAGCAATTCGTATGGAAACAAATTGCCATCGATATGCCGGTTCGCATACTAATGCCTTGACATACACACACATACAACATATTTACATACCCACATGCGTACACACTTATATAAGCGCCATACAGCAAGTGACAAGTGCCTGGTTTTGAAGTGACTGTGGTCATGTGTACTCGTCAGTTGGTTGGCTTGGTAACGGAAGTGGGTGGAAACGGAAACTCAGCGTTAAGCCATGAAGTGGTTATGTGAGAATAATCTTTTTTTCTCTCCTATGCTAAATTGATACCAACGCTGGTAGTGACAAGTGCTGGGTTGCATTATAACGGCACATGGCCATAAAAGATAATCAAAACGCATACAAATTGCAAAGATTTGTATTGAATTGATAGTGACATAAAGGGCATGCGATGGTCAATGAAAAGCAAATGCATAAACAAACACTCGTTAGCGTAAGAGCACACATACAGACATCTATTTACAATACATAAGTTTAAATTGCGTATATATATTTCAGTAGAAATCCATATATACGAGTATATGTACAAGTTGTATGCAAAATAGTATCCTGCGTAAGACGATGACAATCTCTAAATACATACATACACACACTTACGTATTTCAAAAATTCCGCACATTTTTGTGAATGCGTATTTAGTATGCAAATCTGTTTGTTTAAAGAGTTGACCGTTATCAAACGTTGCTAATAAATGTAAATGGGAACGATCCTGCTCCTAAGCTTACACATTTTTAATACTCCTGCCATTAATGGCATGTAATTCTCGACGTGACATTATGCAGTTTAGCATTTATTTGAAAAATCTCAATATTATCAAAATGCCAGCGCAGACGCTGCTACTTTCTGCTCTTTCAAGATTGAAAAAAGCGCCTATTAACATGCAAAAAATTATGTTTCATAGGTTTTACGAGTCTAGGAGAAAGTGTTTAGATATTTCCACATCATCTTTCTCATTGCAACTTTGACAAAGTGGGACAGTGTCCAGTTAGGACATTGCGGCGATGTGTACCTTGCTAACAGCTAGCACTCCAATAGGTCTTTTCTACTCTGGGCCTGAAGGCTTTCGCATCCCCCCAAGTGCTGTGTGCTGACCAACTCTTGCTGAGATCGCGCAAGGCCCATAGATTCAGCGCCAGAATGCACGACAGTGCAACCTCTGCTCGTTCCTGGGTATTTGGGTAAGGTTGCCTTTTCTTGCAAAAAGTTCATCGGCTATACAGTAGCCGAGCTACTACGTGGATCAAATAGTGATATAAATAGTCATGGATATTTAAAGTCATCTCAACACTTTCTCCTTGACACTTCCGCTTTGCGAGTTTTAAGTTGAAATACCGCAAACTATTGGTCATCCAGGTTAAGTAGAAGTAATGTATACTTCAAGGCTTCCAGTCACTACAAGTTCGAAACGCAGCAGATATAGCTAATTTTTGATACAGTAGATCTTTAGGATTTTTTGGCATCATAAAGAATCTATCTATAATTATTAAAATGTTTATCTCTGTCGAGGATCAACCTTTGTACCTAACTTAAACTAACCTAAACTATTTTTTAGTGACTTTGTCCGGAATTGGATAATGATTTGTCCTGAGTAGTAATGGCAAAGTGCGTAGAAGAACATTACGTCGAAGCATAACTATTTTTCCCGGCTTTTCTTTTAAACTCTATTCAACCTTACTACTGTGCTGGCATTTCTACCCAATAAAATATTTCAACTGTAACTTGGTAGCACATCTACCATTGGTTGTATGGTCACTAAAATTTCTACATCTCTTTCAGCATAGCCGACTTGATTGAAATAAGTAAAAAATATTTACCGTCAGTTTTGGCTGATATGGCGAATGCCGTCTTTGTGTCATTTCGGAACGGGAAATGTTTATTCAGCAACTCCACAACGCAATCATACTCACGCTATGCGTCTGACAATTTATTCAATTTTTCCCTCTCTCTCCTTAACTCGCATTCTGTTCCACACTCTCTATGTTTTATTATTACAGAATACCAAAAAAGGGCAACAAATTGAAAGCCGAAGCAAGTTTTCGTACAGATAACAATGACATCTTGATAGCTACTTCAGTCAATAGCGAAGCCATCAAAGCTTCAAGGTTCTTTCTTGTCGCAACTTCCAGCCGTTTTCTTATCTCTACTACGCGAGTATTTTCAATTAAATTACGCATACATTTTGAATGACAATGTGTTGTTGCAAAAACGCAGGAAAAAATGCCAACAACCGAGAGTCGTAAAGATATGCCAACAACCGGGAGCATAACTGTAAATACGTACGACGAAGAGTGGTAATGTCAAGTGAGTTACGTTGTAAGCCTAAATTCGTAAATGGATGTGGACAGTGACACAAGATTTGTTGAATAAATAACACTGCAATTTGCACCACACACCGAAAAAAATCCGAAAATAAACACGAAAAAGTGCTTTAAAGGCGAGTGTGGTGGACACAGGGACGAAGAGACACGAGCAGATATAACAAATGCGCCGTGTGTTGAAATCAAAAAAATTAAAGTGAGGCTAAAATATTTGACAGGCAGTCACTAACGGTATTGCAAACATGTTAACTCAACTAAGTTTACTAAAACAGAATGCAAAGAAAGACAATAACAAAATATAACAATGAAATTCTTGCAACTTGGCCAGAACTTCTTTGATGTGGGTTGAAGGAAAAGCAAATGCGATTAGGATAAAAGGATTTGCTTTGATCATCTTAAAACAATAAATGAATCTAAAAGATAGCCTTGAAGTAAAGAAAATAATGTACAAGTAATGCGTTATTCAATAATTGAATGAACAAATAAGTAGATCTGTGTGATCCGAGGCTTTTGTTTTTGTTTTTTATAAATTTAATAGGACAATACTGTAGACACTTGGAATTGGCAACTTGTACATTATATATGCAGATAAAAAAAGTAAATTTTGTAGGCTGTTAGTTGTGAGTTTCATACATCGAAGTAATATTGTAAACTGATCCAGAGTTACTTATGGCAAACCTTCAGCCTCAATTGGCTTTTATGGTGTAAAAGAAATATATTTATCAAAGGTTGAAAATTTCATGCTTTCTGGCCTAAAATAGATATTTGAAGATACTAGATATTAATAAACCATTGAGTCTCGAGGCATTCAATATGGCGCAATTAAAGCTGTTAGCCTTTAAATGAAACGGTGAATAAAAAATAATTCTGTCAAAAAATACATCTGTGAAATAGATAGACTAAGAATAAGCACTCTTTTGAAAGCAAAATTGTGCTTTAATAGAGGACAACAACAGCATGAGAATACGTGCAAAATAGTTATGTACCATATTCTACCAGAACTATAAGAAGAAAACTTTTTAAGTCATATTTCCCGTATCATTCTTTTGTATTAAAAATAAATTTTAAGTAACAATTCTGACTGGCTTGCTCGATGAAAAACGGAGAAAACTAAAATGGATGAGTAAAGGGAAACGATCATGCCGTTGACTCTTCGTAGAAATGTCGGCGATACCTAACACTAGTTCTGTGGACATTTATTTTTGTGTTTATTTTCTGATTACTTGACCCAGTATTTTTTAGAAAAAGTTCAAATATGTACACCAGCAAAGAGAAAATACGCCATATTTTACAATTTTCTTTCGATAATTGAGAAAACCTCATCGACCAAATTTCTTCTGTTGAATCACAACAAAGTCAATCCATTTCAGAGGCTGATGGTCACTGAAAGTGAGTCACTCACAACCACATCAAATTAAAACGGAGTTGATCTAAATGTACTGAGCCAGCGCGAATGCTGACCCAGCACGGATTGACGGTCAGTAAGGTTTTGCCATTTGTTTGATGTGATTGGCAAGGAATCAACTACTATGAGCTGCTCCTGTACACAAGCCTTATATATCGAACTTTGCCAATAAGAGAGGAATTGTGTTCCATCAGGACAGCGTCTGACCACATACAACAATAGTGACTCTCCTGAAGCTGCGAAAGCTTGGTGGGGAGCTCTTTATGTATCCATCTTTTAGTCTGAATCTGGCACCTAGTGATTACTACCTGTTTTCTGTCTATGGCGTGTAGTTTGCTGGTGAAAAATTCACCTCAAAAGAGTCTTATTAAATTCGACTGTGCCAGTTTTTTGCAATAGACACATCTCATTATTAATTAATGAACTTAGAATTAAATTTGCGTGAGAAATGAAATACAATACTCGTTAACGCTTAAAATTTATTATATTCTTACTCAATGAAAGAAGATTTTAAAATTCCTTTAACGCTTTCGCACATTTTATCACTTAAGTGCTGTCGAGTGCTTGAAAACTCGGAATGAGCCAAATACCTGTAATGGTCGCTATGCGTCATTTTATTACCGCAATGAGATAACAGAAATACTTGAATCGCAGCTTAGAGAAATGCACAAAACTACATTTCACCGAAGAAATAGAATCAAAATAAGAAAACTACAAATAAAGGATAATAAGAAATATAGTTAAAAAATAAGAAAAAGGAATTAAAATAAAGCGAATGACGCAGACGCAAAAGCGCACACACGAATGCAGGCAACCCTCTCCGGACTTTAGTGCTCAAGCGCCAACAGCTCCTCAGGTGCACAATCTAACTGAACTCTTCCTGCTTTCTTATCTGCGACGCCCTGCTTGCTCGCCTCCCCATTCATTTCTGCGCCATTATCATCATTCGTGTCAAATTTAACGTGCAAATTATAAAAATGCAACGGTAATAAAATAAAATATAGACGAGTAAGTACGAAATGAAGGAGAGGGATCTTGTGGCGAGCGGTCAGAGAAAAAAGAGTGCCGCAAAGAAAATGAAAATAAAAGCAAAGCCAACTAATATCAGTGAAAACAAAAAAGTGAAAAATGTACTTTAATTTTACCGTTATAAAATGATGATCTGTAAAAATGTCTTTTCACGCTTGTTGAACATAAAGGAGCTCCTATGAAAATTTATTTACTTTTTATTTCAGTTTTTCCACCGCACTGACAAGTAAGCAAAATATAAGTAGCAGCTAAGAAAAACAACAAAAGCGACAACAACAATGCAACAGCAGCAGAAACGGTCAAAATAGCGCAAATATTGTACAAGAAAGTTGCATGTGCCACTTGTAAGAATTGTCCAAGCGTGCCATAAGCTCTGCGCAGAAAAGGAAGTGCAACGCCAACGCGCCACAACAGAGTACAGCAACAACAATAGCTGTATGGTGTAGCGCAATAGTTGAAATACAGCGAAACAGCATGAATTACACTGTCAGTGGCAGCGACTTGCGTGAAGTCTATCTTCCGGCGCTGCAGGTACAAGGACTCACACTAGCAACAACAACCGCAACAACAAGTACTGCTGTTGGTGTGCTATGCTCGGTTCGCTTTGTCATTGTCTTTACGGCGCTTTGTTGTTGTAAATGTTGTTGTTGTTATTACAATTGTTGTTCGCGTTATTTGTTGTTGTTGTTGTTATTGTTATGTTTGTTATTATTATTACATCATTGTTGCTGACGTTAGCGTTTCACCTTTTATTGTTGCAACAACACACGCACACAAACACACCAGCGCTGTTCTATAACTTGTTTATTTCGCTGCTAAAATTTAAAAGTTAAGTACAGCACTATACAAACACACATATAAAACTGTATACATATATTATATACTATATATGTGTGTGTGCGTTTATAAAAATTGTCTTTCTGCTGGTCACACCCAGAGCGGATGCGCCCCGCTGCACTTATTTGCTGCTTCGCCGCATGTGAAAATGCACAAAAGGTCGGTCAGCAATTGCACTGTGTCCGTCCGTCTGTTCGTGGTAAACTTTCCACAGGGAAAACTTTTATCCAACGCATTGTTATTGCCTTGCCGCTGGGCAGTTTGGCTTGCAACAACGACCCAAGTTATACTGTACTGTTGTTATGTTTGCTGTTGTTGTCGTGGTGGCGAAGGCGTGGAAATTGCTGTTATAAGTTGTGCTGCTGCAACTGACAATCTTAGCTAATAAGCTATGCCAGTTGGCCAGAATCAAAGTGCCAGAATATGAGCAGAAAAAGCAGGCAAAGAAGAAATAGAAGTAAAAGTGGAAGAATCATTATAAACCGTAATCATAAAGTCACTGCGAAAAAGTTTACTGCGGATGTAGAATTTGCTATCAAATGCAGTTGGAAGCGATAAAAATATGAAATAATGGGCAATCGTGCACTTTAGCGGGACATTGGTTCGAGTGATTGCGGCAAATCGGAAATCGATAAGCGCGCTATCAATGAGCTTATTGTGTGCTTAGCATTGTAATGGGTGTTTATAGTGAGCCAGTGGGCTGCTTGTGGACAGTTATAATAAACTTTACTATATTATTCATAAGAAGAACATTTAGAAACTTTCTCACCGAGGATAGGATAAAGAGTCCCATTAAAACTAAAGCTGTGGTGTCCTCTTTCTGAAAAGTAGTAATCACGTCTTTGGAAGTCTTTCCACAGACAGGTGTATCCTGTCCTCCTTACAGAACAGAAGACCGAAGTTCAATTGAAGTTTTTCATTGATATGAACTATAAGTTTCGTCAAAGGTCTGTTCAATCCATAGATAAATCCATAGCTAAGGGGGAACTGAGTTACCTGCTTAATTTATATACTATAAGTTTAACCGCAAAATACGGCCTATAGAGTAGTTTGCCGAATCGAAAAAATCATACAGGTAGAGTTGTCAGAAGAAACCTCCCGTTGAAATAGCCACCATGCTCGTTTCTGGGATTGAAACTGGAACTGCTGAGTAAGAAATTCATTTGGAGCCTCATATTAGATTAAGTTAAGTAGTTAGGTTGATCCTAATCGCTGGATCTCATTTTGACAGCTATGAACGTTCGTTCTTTGTATTACCCATAACCTCGTAAAAATGGATCACCAGATTCTTATATATCGACGAGGGTGTGTCACTTCATTAGGTTTGTCGTTAGGTCTGTTAGGTGTATCTACCAAGATATTTCAATCTGGCAAAAGACCGGTAATAGGGGAGAAAGTTACAAGCCGATGCCACCTCCATACAGCTTTGGCGTCCGCCAAAAAATTTAGCCGTATCTAGATTGTCAGAAAAGCAGTCAAAATAGTGAAGAATTTGCGTGTGTTAATGTTTGAGCAGCCTCATATACCAAGCTTTCATAAGTTTAAAAGCAGCTTTCGCAAAGCAGCTGTCAGCTTTGTCTATAAGTGCCACATGTGAAATGGCATTGAGTGCCATTGTTGGTGTTGCACCACAGATGTCGATTAGGGCCGCTCTTTAAACACAATCCAGCTGTTTAGGTTGAGTGGTTTTTCCGAGCATCCTCTTCCAGACAACGAACACACAAAAAATTATTGGCTTAACTATGGTTCAACTACGGGTCCATAGAGCCAGAACACCACTTTTGGTGTCAGGCTCGATACAAAACAAAACAAAATTTTCTAAAAGGAAAAATTAACCACGAATTCAACGAGTTTTGCTTAGTTTGATTAAAAGGTAAGAGAAGAAGTAAGGTGGAGTTTTTCTCACCTGCTCAGGTATTAGAAAAAAACGTTTGCTCAAAGCTTAAAAAAGCTTTTGAACTTCAATGACTATCTATGAAACTAGAAACACCGATCTATTGAATAAGCGCCAGGAAACCCCCTTGCTCATTATTCAGTCAAAAGAAAATGTTATATAATATTATATTTATATTAGTATAATATTTAAATAGTAATATGTATGTATAAAAGTAATTTATTTCCCAATTTTTTAATATGTGTTGTCTATTCTCCTTGACTTTTCTTGCTAAAACAAATTTTTCGCTATTTTCGCAGCTTTCAGTACAACCATCAACACAATCTGCGCAGAATAGAAATCAGAATAAAAGTCGATCGTCAAAATAGCTGTGGCGCAGTGCCCATTAATGCAATACTCGCAGCTGAAATTTGCACCTGAAGTTGTGGAAAAAAGATAGCGGCAGCCAAATAACCAAACAACCAGCGAGCAACTAAGTGCAAGGCAAAGCAATTTGGTTAAAATGTGAACAAGAGGCACTCAGATGGGTGGTGAAGCGGACAACCCCAGCAGGAAGTTCGCAACTAACGAACTACTAGTGAGTATTTATTGTTTTAAAATAAGCAGCTGTCGAAAGTAAATGCAAGGTAGTGTTGTTGGTATATAATTTTCAGTCCTATATAGTATCTCTAAGCTTTATTTAATCTTTTAGTTCAGTTCAGTACAGGTATTACAAGTACCCCATCCCCAGTTTCCCCACTCAACTTTTATCCATTTGAAATAAAACATCGTCCATGATATTCCACGTATCTTAGAACTTTTAATGAAAGGGTAAATGAAAAGTTCTCAAATCAGTAGTTTTATAATAAGAAGAAAGTCTAAAAAAAATGATGGTTTTTGAAATATCGTTCCATGAGTTTACAATTAATAGTTGCAGTAGTATCTACAGCTGCAAACAGGATCTATAATTTCGAAAAGAAAATTGTATGCTTCTGCTAGCCAGCGATAATTTTAGATCTTATATTGTAAACCAATTGTTCTTTTTGCTCCTCGATCTAGGAGTCGATAAATAGTTTATCGATGAAAGAAATCCTTGACGTATCTTCTATAGAAAGTTAGTTAGTTTTTTCGAAAAATTAGCTTTGACTGCTTGAAAGCTTTTTGGTCTTTAACGAAACGCTTCTCTGCTATCTGGAGGTGTGAGGAAACTTCTTTATCCAACAAACATACTGGTAAAGTTGGAAATTGTATGCGAAATTTTAAGGGGTTAGTAGGGGTAGTCAGCATTAAAAAAAGGATTTTCCTAGTGAAATATCTTATAATATCTGACTAATATTACTATTAGCTTCAAGCTTTACGTCAATTGTGAGTAAAAATTCAAATGCGTTTTCCTTTACTGTTGACCACTGTAGCTCGAAAACTGCTCAACATACGATAATAATATCTGAAAATTTGGGTTTAAGAAATTATTCAAATGTAACATAAAATACTTAACTTAATATCAAGTAAGTTGCTTTGCATGTCAGGTACTCATATTTTGTATAAAAACGTTTTGAGCAGGATTTTCGGATACCATACTAAACGGACATCAGAATATTTAGTTTATTCGTGTCAACAGACTATCGAAGTGGATATTTGAACTATAAAACACACAGTTTCAACTCTAAGAAAAAATGTTTTGAAAGTAGCACGCTAATTAGATAACCTTTTACACTTATCATATTTTTTCCCCCTATTTCGGAGAGCTGTACCTTCCGACTAACAGAAAAGTGGTCCAAGGTTTGACTGCGGTTGCTGCCGACAGCCCGAGGCAAGCGTCTGAGTAGCATTTTTTTTAATAAAAAATCAATATCCATTCGAAGATAAATTTTTAGAAGAAGACGCTGCAAGCCTTTTTAAAAGTTTCAGAATTCCTTGTAGGGTCTAAAAACGCTGTATATTCGAATTCCTTGATTCACCAATATTCCTACTGCGTTCGTACACGTTAATATGAAATGTATGCATGTGTATGTAGGTGTGTCGTGGGTGTTTGTCATCGAATTCAAAAAGTGTTGTTGCAAGTGTTGATGTGCAGCAAAATGGTGCTTGGAGATTTGCTATGCAAATAATGATATGCAAATGATATGTGCATAAGAATGCGTCGGTGTGAAAATCCAACAGCCAAAAAGGAAGTGAATGCACAGAACAACACACTTATATACACACAGAAGCGCACATCCAAATGCCAAACTTGGCAGCTCAGCACAAATTCACACCAAAACGGATGAGCTTGATGGCACAAGAGCCACACAAAACGAGAAAAAAAGCAGCAAATAATTTCATATGTAGAAATAACGGTACTTGTAGTAGTAAAAATGCATATGCATGCACTCACAAACACACACAAACACCTCAGCGAACTGCAACGCTTCAAGTAGCGGCGATGAATAAAGCAAATGGAGAGTAGAAGCAGAGCAGTAGGTGGAGAAGCAGAAGTACCGAAGAGCAAAAGTGTAAGTGCAAGTGCACTTGGAATATTTCGGTATTTTGGCAAATCCATTGAGGGTTACACATGAATAGATTGTCTATCGACAGGCAGCAGTGACAGGCGACATAAGCCAAATACATGTCAATGGCAGTGGTTGCACAACGCAATCTGCACAAGCTGCCAAGCGCTCTATATTGAAATGAGCAAAAGAAGCAGGCAAACGCTGAGCAAAACGAAAGCGTTAACGGGTTTTCCCGAGCGCCGGCTCAGCGTGACGTGGTGCGGTGCGGTACGGCATCGGGGTGGCGATTGGCAGGAAATTGCTGATAGTAAGAGCTGATTTTCAAAAGGTTCTTAGCAAGGTGCGCATATGTACAGTTATGTGTGTGTGTGTACTTTAAAGCACCTACCTTACGTTTATAGACGGCAGTATGAGCATTTATTTGCATATGAACATATTTGAGAATCAAATGTATTGCTGCAAGCGACCGGATATTTGCACGTAAAGAAGAATCTATTTGCATTTTCGGTGTGAAAACTAAAAACTATTTGTACACAGAGTTGCACAGAAATGCACAGAGACTTGCGCAAAACAAACGAGCGTACAGAGTTTCTTAGCTCTGCATGCTTTTGTGTTTATTAGGGTGGTACTTAAATATAGAAGACAATACCCCTGATTAACTCATATTATCGACTATTTTTGTCCGTAATCCTAATAGTGATAAACACAAAACCCACGGTGATAACTCCTAATCTCGCAAAGTTGATCTAAAAAACAAGAAAACACATAAACTCTGGCTGCACCGAAACTATAGTATCCTTCACATGTACATTTTTTATAGCATAAAAGGATATAAGAAGAACTTTATTCTGATTTTGATCGGTCACTTTGAATGGCAGCTATAAGCCATTGTGTTCCGAGCTGAATAACATATTCGGGGGTTGTAGTGCTGCCTCGGATAATAATCTATGCCAAATTTTGTGAAGATATCTTGACAGAAAATAGAGTTTTCAATACAAGAACTCGATTCCCATCGTTCAGTTTGTATGGCAGCTGTATGATATAGTCTTTCGATATCGATGGATCGACAAATGAGTAGCTTCTTGGAGAGAAAAGTACGTTTGCAAAATTTGAGATCGATATCCCAAAAACTGAGAGACTAGTTTGCATATATACAGCCAGACAGGCGGACAATGCTAAATCGTTTCAGATTGTCACGCTGAATATTTATTTATATATTTTATAGGGTTTTCGACTTTTCTGGGTATTATAAATTTCGTGGCTAACTTAAGATACCATGTTCATGGTATAAAAATATTTTATTGGCGAAGCCTGATGATAAATACATAACCCACTGGGAACCTTCCAAGATTGATCTCACAAATCATATGGTATATCAGGCAGGTTGAAAAGTTCTTATCGTTTTTGGCAAAGTTCGATTTCATTATTAAACTTAAATGCCTTACGAGCGCAATATACCGACGATTAAAAACTTTCATCTTTACCGTTTCCAGAGCAGTCTACGTAACCGCATGGACCCGGATTATATAATATAATAGATAGGTCTCAGTCTCGGAAAAGACCGCTCTTTAGCTAAAGTTGTTACCCAGGACCACTCTCCTGAGATCTAACAACAGAAAGGGCCATATACGGAGACACTTTGTATACGGAAGCTATTCTAAATTTGAGATAACGTCAATTGAGAACTCGCGTTGCACTCAGTTCTCACAGAATGTTTTCGCTTTCCAAGATCGAGAACGATATTGCGAACAAGTTGCCAAAAAAGAGTGCTCCAATAACATATGAAGATTCTTTTAATTATTTTCTTTTGAAAATATCAAAATGTATTTCAATCAAAACGTTATATCTCGCGAACCAGTTTTCAGATCTGAGTATTTTTTAGGCTAGGTCTAACTAGACAATACGTTATGGAACTTAGCTGATATAATTTCTTTATTGGTGATATTTTGGTTAAAATTACAAGACTACTACATATAAACATCCGAAGACCAACCTAATGAGCATGTGTATATATATTTATCACACACACATCTTCACATGTATTCACAATAAACTCTAGCTGCTGCACAGCCAAGATGAATGTGGCGCAAAGCAAATAAATGGTTTTACGTTTGTGCAACTTTCGTCAGTTCGGCCAACTGCAGCTGCGCCTGAAAGTAGATTTTGATAAATGTACTAATACACTCCGTACGGATACTAACATAGTGGTATGACGTTGGCAGCTGCAGGATAGGTTCCCTGCTTCAGTGCATAGCTAACGGAACACACTGACTTACTGTCGGTCGGTTGATCGGCGGTCTGGCTGTATGGCCTTGAGAATATGTTAGACAAAAGTACATACGAAATTGTGAATTGAGAAATTGTAGAGCATGCAAAACGATGAACAGATTTGATGAGTACTGTGTAGATTTTTATGGAAGAGCGCTTACTTTGCCCCCTCCGCAAAAGATAATAGAAAAGCAGTGATTGTACTTTCAAATATAAACAAACTACAGTGAAGTATTTTGTGTGTGTATGTGTGTAGTAGTAGTGGTTGAGATGTGGCAGCAGGAAATGCATATGTTATGCTATCTCTTGTGCGAATATTTAATAAAAACAAAGGCAAGTGTGCTTGATGTTAGCTTGAAACTAGGTTGTTTCTATTTTTTGTTACTTTTAATTTAATTTTTTTTTTTTTATGAAGAGCAACACACTTGCCGAAATCTACCGTAGTTATCATTAGTTAAAATAATAGATCAAGACTGGAAACTGAGAACAACAAATTTGCTTATTATTTTTTAAATTTTTTAAAAATGCAAATATGGGCGTGTAAGTTCAAGTTTTCTTACTTTTAAGCTCCATATACAACATCTGCTAGTGTTTCGTCTGTTACAGTTAGTAAATTCATGATTTTGTAACTATTATTCCATAAAAAAAATTTTTTTCTAGCTTTACGAATTAAATATAAAATTTCATTATATTTAAATAAAACATTGTGTAGCAACAACGAACTTGTCTTGTGGAACAATGGCTAGCGAAACATATGTATGTAGGAACTCTTGGCCAAAATAAATCCAGAAATACATCTCTACAGCAAGCTGAAAGTTCTCTAACACGCTGATACCTTACA